CCCCAAAACCCCAAAACCCCAAAACCCCAAAACCCCAAAACCCCAAAACCCCAAAACCCCAAAACCCCAAAACCCCAAAACCCCTTGGAAAGTATAAAAAACTGGATTTTGAGCTTATTAATAATTTTCTTCAGGTTATTCACTATTTTACCACAATGAAATTCTTAAAATTCCTCATCTGCAGCTGCTTTGGCTCGAATAAGAAAGGTGAGTACTGGCCATTTATCAAGTATACTAGCTCAGATTGAGCCAGTGTGGACTTATATGGAGGGAAGAAAAACATAAAATTTTCGTTAAGTTTCTATGCATCTTTCCTTACTTACTAAAACTAACTTTTTTCAGGTCATTTCTAGCCCTAGGATAGGAGATTTCTAACTTGGTTACTTTTAGAGCACAGTAAGCAAGCCAAAAGCTTTGAACAAGCAACAAATCCGGCAATAATTAGCTTAGAAAAGGATATCCAAGAGACTTCTGAGGTTATGTCTGGGAATAAGTGTCAAGACCCTTTCAAGGGTTCAAAAACTCCAGAAAGACTTCTTTCTTCCCAAAACATTTATATCTGAAATACCAATGGAACTGAGGAGGTTGAACTCACAGATAGCTCTCCAAAGAAGCTAAGAAATCATTTTTCTGACTCTTTTGAGCTTACTACTTCTGATGCTACAGACCTTGAAAGTTCTCAGAAGATAGAGCTAGATAGCTCTAATTGCTTCGACAACCTTTATGAAGGAGACTGTATCGAGACTAAGCAGCATCGTGAATTTCTTATTAAAGTAAGAAAATACTTTCTCAAAGTCTCTAATTTGCTTTAGAACAAAAAGTCTCTTTTACGGGCTATCAATCTGAACATATTCATATCTGAAAAGTAAGTTTCGCATAATTACTCTCTAACTTAATCTATAGATGTCAAGAACTAGATCTGGAAAGTAGGATCAGGCATAAGAGGAATGCGAATTTAGAGTCAAATGCTCCACTTGCTTCGATTCTTGAATACGAGACTTATGATGACTTAGACTGCTAAACTCCGACCAATTAAGCTGCAAATCATGAAGAAGACTCGATCAACCAAGATTGTTTGTAGCTTAAGTAAATTAATCATAATTTTTTAATATTTATGAATCTTTTTCACACTAAGCTATTTTTAGATAAAATGGACACCTTTGCCTTTCGCTTCTTCTCTCAGGAGCTATATTCCCTCTAGATCTTTAGCGATAACTTTCGTTGAACCTAATAGTGAATATTTCTCAAAGTTTTTCGATAAACTCCGTCTATACCTCAAATGCCACATTTTTATCGCGGCCTGGCGAATCATTAACAAAGCTACTATGGTTTATTTCAATTTGTTCACTTATATTCGGGGTTTTGGGGTTTTGGGGTTTTGGGGTTTTGGGGGTTTTGGGGTTTTGGGG